GGGCGCTCGGGAAGGCAGGCGGGTGCGCCGGCCCTCGGCTGCAGGGTGCCGTCTGAGAGCCCTGCCGGCGTCTCGCGGCGCCTTGGTCTTCTTTCCAGTCCGGGGCTGAGGACCTAGTGGCTTCTCCGGATGGAACGGTGAGGGGTTTGCGCCAGCCCCGGGCAGTGCTTGTCTGGCCTTGCCTCCTGGGCCGGGTGGGGGTAGCCTCGGGCACGGGCGTCCTCAGTCTGGTGAGACCCCGGGGAAGCCACTCAGGCCTGCGCGGGGAGTCCCAGCCGCACAGCGGGCATCTGAGGGCGGGCCTGCCTTTCTGCTGAGGGGCTCAGCGCTGTCTCCGAGAAACTCGCCCGCCGCCCAGGGCAGGCAGACGGACACACTCCTTTGGTCGCTCGCGCCCATGGACCTGCCCGGTGTCTCTCCTCAGCACTGACGGTCTGCCTCTTCCTCCCGTCGCTGTGACTAGGGTCGCTATCCTGAGAATCCAGAAGAAACGGATTTTGGTTTCATTATTTCCTCATTTCTCTGGTTTCTGTTTCACTGAGTTCCGCTCTTTTACCTGCTTGCTGCGGATTTCGTGTCGTCTTTTCATGCTTTTCAAGCTGCAGGAGTCTGGTTTCTCGCTGTGTGGCTTTTCTTCCTTTCCTGCGCCGGCCCTGGACGCCAGACACCTGCCTGGCCCTGCCCAGCGCCTGGCGCGGTCCCCGCCCTGCCCGCACAGGGCTGCCCGGATGTGCGCCGATGCCCGCATGACCGGTGCGCTCGGCCTCGTGGCCGGCTCCGGCTCATTCCGCTGGGGACAGTCTGCAGGACCCCCCAGCCTCTGCAGGACCCCAGCCTCTGCAGGACCCCAGCGTCTGCAGCCTCTGCAGCGGCAAGCGGCAGGGGTGGTGCGCGGCCTGCAGGGCGGCTGAGGCGCTCAGCAGCCTGGGCTGGGTGTGGGCTCCTCCAGCCCAGGCTGATTTTGTGATTAACGGCTGTTTTGTTAAGGAAATTTGGAAAACAAGGTGTTAAAGTGAAAGGAAACCAGCCAGGGGTGCCCTTACTGAGTGGATTGGGTTGAGCCTTCAAGCTTGTTCATGAGTCGTGGTCATTCTCTTGTGAATTTAAGTGTGAAAACAATCTCAGAGAGGTACTGTGTGGTCAGCTACAGTTTTGTTGTGATTTGGTTAAGTAGATTAAATTTGTGAACACAGCAGAGGTGGAGATTTTCGTGCTGTGTCAGACTTCACGAGCAGAGAGAGGGCGTAAATAGGCCAAGCTGTCTTAAAGTCGTGGAGGGCGCCAGCGTGGCCGTGAGCTTGCCGGGGCGGCCGGCCTGGCGGCTCTGACGCGCTGTGTTCCTGGAAGCAGACCCTGGCCTACGGGGACATGAACCACGAGTGGATCGGCAACGAGTGGCTGCCCAGCCTGGGCCTCCCGCAGTACCGCAGCTACTTCATGGAGTGCCTGGTGGACGCGCGCATGCTGGACCACCTGACCAAGAAGGACCTGCGGGGGCAGCTGAAGATGGTCGACAGCTTCCACAGGTCGCGCTTTGTGGTGCTTTTCAGTCAGCTGAGAGCTCCTGCTAGGTGCATCTCGAGAACATTTGTTTTTTATTTCTCTACATAGAAACAGTTTCCAGTGTGGAATTATGTGCCTGCGAAGGTTGAACTATGACCGGAAAGAGCTGGAAAGGAAACGAGATGAAAGCCAGAGTGAAGTCAAAGGCGAGTACATCGGGCTCTGTTGGCTGGGCCTCTCCCGAAGGCGCTGCAGCCTCAGCGAGGTCCAGCTCAAAAAGAGCAGGGAGGAGGACATGGGGTGGACAAGCCGGCCTGGGCGTCAC